CTGCGATAGGCCGGTATAGCATCCAATGACGCGAAAATTATACTTACACGTCGTCCTAATATCATTTTCTATTATTTTAAACAAAAGTATATTCGATTACACGTTGTGTGTTTCGTTCGAGGTGGACTTGGTCGGTTTGACCGGTCATTGTTTCTCATGAAATGGACTTGGTCGGTTTGGCATTGTTCTGTACCAAGCGATTAAAGCGATTTTCGGCCATTCAGACACTTGCACATCAAAGTTGACACTAAATGTACATGTTTAACGTCATAAACTCGATTTCGAAAAAAATTGAGTTGGTCGGTTCTCCCTTTCCACCACAGAATTGAATATTGAAAATCATCGTTCAGACGCTCCTATTCAATCGGGTATATTAAAAGTAACTTTTCGCGAGTTTTCCAAGGAGAATACGTATATTAGTTTCCAATAATCGCGAAGTTAAATAAAAAAAAATCCTGAACTTCAGGCCTCGCCTGTGTGGGTATAATGGTAATTGGTACGGCGTTGTTACTACTGAAATAATCTTAATAATAAATTGATATTTTGGGCGCGTAAAGGTAAAATTAAATTATCTTAGGATGTCTATTCAATCACTGGGTAAAACATTGGTTATGTCTATTTTACCCAGTGATTGAATGATTTATTTGTGATATATAGTGGACCCTATAATGATAATGACAAATCTACAGAATTATATGAAAATTTAAGAATTATATAAGAATTACAGAATTATGTGAAAATTACAGAATTATATGAAAATTACAGAACTATATGAAAATTACAGAATTATATGAGAAATTAAAAAAGCTGATGGATATTATTATTCTATTATTTTTCTTTTATATGGATTTTTGTGACATCCGATCTACGTTACTATTGTTCCGCATTCGCTTGCAACATCGAAGGGACATCTAACTTTAGGCCTGCAGCGGCCAAGTAAATATTATATAAATCTTCGTTTTCCAGGTGCTCGATGATCATCTCACAGCAAAGAATTGGCAGTCGGTTGTGAATCAGTTCAATAAAACAATCTAGGGCCCAGCTCTGAAAAAATTCCCTCGATTTTATTTCGCACAGATACAGTGTAAAAGCACTGCGAAATCCCGTGGGAAGATGTGACAATTGGTAATACACCAAATTGATATAGTCCTCGTGCGCAAGTAATTTCGCGGCCTCTTTCGGTCGCATCTGGATCAGGTCGTGGAGAGACTGAGTCGGATTTATCATTATTTCTTTTGCTCTGTCCACGATTTCTTCGTCGCCGTACCAAAATTTCTCCAAGTTCGAAGACTTTCGAAATAAATCGTTGTCAGAGAAAAATTTCATGATCATCAGGGCGTCGCTTCAGTCCAGTTCGTATCCTCTTCTTTCGAGCTGTCGAACGATGGCCTGGGCATCGGCCGCTAGTCCAAATTTAAACTCATTTATTCGATCGCTTGGACATTCTCCGCCGCAATCGATCTTGGTGGGAAAAACGAAGCCGGACAGATCGGCGCCATGATTCATGATTACGTCGAACACACACGGCAACAGACTCGCCACGGCCCTTTGCAACGGCGTCCGGCCCTCATTGTCGCGGACATCGATCTGCACCGGCCGATCGACCTCCTTGCTTATCTTAAACAACAGCTCCAGCAATTCGCAGTCGCCGTAATGATCCTCGCTGATGACGTGCAACGGTACGCGTCCCTTCTCGTCCGCCAAGTTTGGATCCGCGCCTTTTCTCAGCAGAATTATGGTCACGCTCTTGTGGCCTTTAAGCACGGCTCGATACAGCGGAGTCCGACCCGACTTATCCTGAGCATCGACTCTCACCGGCCGATCAAGCTCGCCGTTGACGTCGAAAAATTTTTTCACCGTCTCAAGGTCGTCGCCGTCTTTCGCGCACACAATATGCAGAGGAGTCTCTCCTTTATCGTTGGTCGAGTGCGGATCAGCGCCTTTCCTCAATACTAGTTCTGCCATGCTCTTGTTGCCGTGCTTCATGGCCCAGTGCAACGGTGTGTTACCGGACTTATCTCGAGGATCGACCTGGACCAGCTTATTGACGTCAACACCGATCTCGAAAAATCTCTTCATCAATTCATCTTCATCGACGTCTCTCTTACAACTGTAGTGCAAAGGAGTCCATCCAATATTGTTGGCCAAATTTGGATTGGCGCCTCTTCTCATTAAAATTTCTACCAATTTTATGTTGCCTTTCGTTATTGCTACGTGCAATGGTGTCTCACCCTTTTTGTCCTGAGCATCGACCGGCATCGACTGATGTTTTTCGTCGCAGATCTTGAATAGCCTTTCTACCGTGAGATCGTCGATGTTTGCCTCACAAATTCTGTGCAGAGGAGTCTCTCCATCCTTGTTGGGCGAATTTGGATCGCACCTCTTCTCAGCAAAAATCCGACCAAGTTTACGTGGTCTCTGTGTATCGCCACGTGCAACGGTGTGTTGCCATCCTCGTCCCGAGAGTCGATCCGGACCGGCTTATTGAATTTTTCACCGATCTCGAAAAATCTCCGCGCCAAGTCGACATCGTCGTATTCTCTCTGACATACAACGTGCAGAGGAGTGAAACCGTTCTCGTCCGCCAAGTTGGGACGCGCGCCTCTACTCACCAAAATGTCCACCAAGTTGATATTGCCATTGAATATCGCCGCGTGCAACGCAGTCCGACGCTCGTTGTCCCGGGCATCTATCTGCACCGTCTGATTCAATCATTTACAAAAATTTTCAAACTTTGTGCCGATAAACGGCGCCAACGCATATCTGACTAGACACCACAATGAGAGGAGGTTGCAGTATCAATGCACATGTGGAGTGATTTTATATCTGTTTTACCTATAAAGAAACATGAAAACTAAGTTTTGATTTTTTTACATGATAAAAATTCGATCTTATATCATCTGCCATCCTAAATGTCAGGAGGAATTTTGGCAGCGCTCAGCCGGTAGGAGAGGAGGTAACAAGAGACGACGAGAATAGACGCGCGCGGCAGTAAAACCACGTTTTTGCTACTTAATTGTTCATACCTTTTGAATCGTTTGAGTCTCCAACTTGAAATTTTAAACAAACCTTCGTTATTAGATCACCTATCGATTGAGATAGCTTCGAACAAAATCGAAAAGGGTATACTTGTCAAAAAATTGAGTTAACTTTAAAGTCAATTTGCTTCTTGAAAATTAACTTTTATTAAAAAACTGATACCAATATTGGAAAGAACAAACAAAAATCTGTCGAAACGCATAGGGGCAATATTTGTCTAAGCCCAATTGCGCTAGCCACGGCGAGTTAAAAAAATTGCAATTCATGTCTGATTTAGTGGTTTTTTTTGGTTTAACCGTTTAACGCCCACTCTCTCAGCGCCATACTCAGCATAGGTGCAGGAAGTAAAGTATCTGTACTAACACTGGACATAAGGAAACGATTTTTATGAATTATGAAAAAAATGTTATATTAATCGGAAAAAGAAAATACAGGAAGATGACTTAATATATCTCTTCAATTGAGCAAATTTTTTGCATGATTTTGTAATGATTAGATGAGCAAATGCATTGTAGACGAATTAAATGAAAGACTACTAATAAAACGACGAAAACTTTAAAAACTATATTTTGTATGCATTATCATTTCACTTATCACTGTAGTAATTGAAAATTGAATAATAGTTACTATTTTATTTTATAGCAAAAAAAGGTTCATGTTAATAATAAATAATAAATAATAAATTAAAAATTATAGTTTGCAATACATAAGAATAGTATATTTTGTAACAAGTGCGCGAAGCAGTTGACTCATCCAGGAGTTGTTTTCACCCGAGCGTAGCGAGGGTGCAAAGACTCCTGGGTGAGTCAACTTCCTCGCGGACTAGTTGCAAACGATATTTTTTAACTCTGCTTGCGAGAAACTAGGGTTTTCTGACGATTTAAGGTTAGAAAGCCCGTGTTTCGCGCACGCAGTGTTAAAAATAAACATTCTATCGTCAGCGAGCAATTTCATCTTTACTGCATCGTTGATGAATTAAACGTTGGAAAACGGATCTGGGTTTTTGATAATACTTACGAATAAAATTATTTATAAGTGTACAATTATTGAAGTTACTAGTACGTAAAAAATATTGTAAAAATGTTGTTCCAAGTAAAATTATAATCAATGCGCGAGGGAACATTGATTCTTCGGCGGTTGCACCGGGGGCCATGTGGTTTATCTTCATAAAGATAGGGTTGCCTATTTCCTGGCGTTTTTGGGTTTTCGATTTTTTTAAAGTTAATCGTACTTTTAAAGGCGATTTCACAATTACTATCATAGTTACGTAATTAATAAATGGTGGACTGAGATTAAGAGTTTCATTAATTTGAAAAAGAAAGAATTTTAAATTTAGGCTCAAAGGAAAAGGATCCCTCTTGCCCCTACTTAAAATTTTGAAAAAAATATTACTGCGATTTTGAATAATTCTATTGTAAACATTTCTAATACTAGCTAACAGTTTACTAACAGTTTGAATAGTATATAGACAGGGGCTTTTGATACTTTGTCTTATTCACATTGATACGCATAATCAGATTAGTAGGTTTGGATTCAGAATTCAGAACCTTTTTTTGAAGTATAGAACAACAACGTATACAAAATTTTACGATGAATTATAATAAGTTTTGACTGACCCTTATTAAAAATTGAAATTTCCAGGCAAATTCCGACGCCTGCGCAGAAACTACTGTATCCAGACTTATCGCTGACGTGTATATTAAGTTTGTCGCATATTACATATGTGGACTTAATATGCCTGTAAATGCAAACAAATAATGTTTAATCAAATGAATAACGGAGCCAGTCGAAGGGTCCCGCTTCATTGAAGCAGCTTTGGCCCGGTATGTTTTTATAGCTTCGCTTTAGATAATGCACATGTTATATATAGTTGTATGGACACGTCGATGTCGTGCTCTCGCCGCTACACCGCACAGTCGTGGAGCTATCCCCTCTACTTAGCGGCTATTTTATACATAACAGCTCTTTGTAGTGCGTAGCTTACGGGAATCCGTGCCCACGTCGCTCGTTTTGCCAGACACAGAGTGTTAGACCGCGCAGGCTGACGCATACGTTTCATTCACAGGTGGGTTTTCGCAATTGTTTTTAAAAGATTTTTACATGGTTTGTGAATCTCTCAATTACACACATTGGAATATTGATAAATAAATTTATTTTTATTTTTCTGTGACGGCTCGGATTACCCTTTCATCGATGAAAAACTGTTTGTGCATCGACGCTTTCCACAACTGACACGCGTTTCATTTACATTTTGCTGATTCGACGTTAATTGCCACAGATTCTGCTTCTCATTTGTTTAAAATAACTACAAAATGGTGAGTAACTGTTAAAACAATAATTGCATTCATTTCTGAATAGATAAAAATATAGCCTGTGCAGCTTATGAGTTATGACATATGGTATATTTTGATTTTTCTTCCACCATATTTATATACTTCTACCGTTGATGCATCTATTGTTAAAAATTTATGTTTCTGATGAAATGATTTGTTAAAACTATGACTACCTATGATATTCTTATAGTCAATGTAAATTCATTACTCAAAGCATTATACATTTTCAAGACTTTTTAACCAAAAAAATAATAAAGTATTGCTGATATGGAAAGAATGCACTTGTTAGATCATGAGACAAGTTTTTTTAATATCATTTTATTATAGTATTATTTCAATTAGTCTCTAATGACTTGCAAGTGGCTATTGAAATAATTTTGATAAATAAACATGAGAAACGAAGTAAAATTATTTTTAATTATCATTCATTAGCCAGCTGCTCCAAGTTCTACTTCTGTGGGAGCTGCCAGTCGCTCTCCAAGCAAGGCTGTAGCCCCTCGTGCTGGATTGGGTGGTACTGTAAGGCAACGTAAAACAGCACCCACAACTGCTGCAAGAAATCGTAATACTGGTACCAATTCTGGTGGTATGTGGAGATTCTACACAGATGACTCTCCTGGAATCAAAGTGTGAGTATAAACTATTTTAATTATTTATTACTTTTTTCTAAAAATGTATTTTATGATTTTTCTCCGTATGTATTTCAGTGGACCAGTACCTGTTTTGGTCATGTCTCTACTTTTCATTGCATCAGTTTTCATGCTTCATATCTGGGGCAAATACACCAGGTCTTAAATCACAAAATCTTTAGTTTTAAGCATAAAAAACTTATAAAAACAAAATATTAGCTATTAAATAAAAAGATTTATACAATTTTTTTCTATTGAAATATGTTTTTCATTGCATGAACTTTAACTTGTTACTTTTAACCAATTTGTTTTATTTATAAATGTTTGAGAACTAGTTGAATATTTTGTTGAACGTTTTATAACTTGAAAAGTTATGTATCAATCAATTCTTTTTGGTTTTTTATTAAATTAGTGAAATTATAAGGCAAGTTTAAAATGAAATTAATTGGCAATATTTTAAACTTGTATGTGATCATATATTGATAATTAAAACTGGAAAAAATTATACAGAAGTAAATTTTCATCTTTTTTATTATTTTCAATATCTATAAATATATATTGTATCAACTATTAGTAAAAATTTAATTGTGATATTTTACATCCATAATGCATCAATGATGTAGCACCTTTCGTTATCTTCAAGAAATAAATCACCGCTCTGCATTTTTCTACAATTAACTAAAAATCTATTTTTACTTTATTTATTTCATACTTTTGAAAAGTTTTCATTCACGAAATACAAAGATTAATCTTAGGTAAAATTTTAGAAGAAAGACACTCGAATTTACAGTATATCGGTACTGAAATCAAAACAGTTTAAATAAATTTTCATTGAAAATATTCTCATCAGAAGAAAATAAAACTCAATGCATCAATTCTGTCTTCCACTTGAATTTACTTTTATCCTTGAAACAATGTATTGGATCATCAGAGTATCACTTGAAATAAAACAAAATAAAATGTAGAAATAAATCTTGTAGAATTATTTCGTACAAAAATTTTACCTGCGATTAATTTGAGAACTTTTGTTACATGATTTTCATCAATTTGTTTCCTCAACCTATTTTTAATTTTTTCTTGATTTCTCAATCATCAATTCAAAATTCTGCACGGTTGTTTTTTTACAAACAAATTTAGGCTATAACTTCATTTTTTAATAAAGAACGAAATACTTATTTAAAAAATTTTCTGTACATTATTTCGTTTTGTACAGATATACACATGATTATAATATTTATAAAATTATAAATTTTCTCCTCCCTAATTTATGCATTAACTTAAAAGCATTTACATATTAATTTTACACTTCATTACTTGAATATTCACATCAAAACTTTGTACATCGTTGTATATGAAAAGGATTGGCTAAATTAAATTTTTTTCATGCAAAAACATTTCTAAAAATTTGAATCCTGCTTAAAAATTGTATCGTGTACACTCTACATCCTTAATTAAAAATCGAATTTAAATATCTATATTTACATTATAGACCTTAGTTTAAAAATCAAGGTGAGTACAAGACAATCTTACATATTGTTTATCCGTAGAAATTTAAAAAGTTGCAAAGTAAAAAAATATATTCAATAATAAAAACGGGTACCTCAGTAACACCTCGAGTAAATACCAACACTTTTATGACTAGTGCATCAAGGTTTACTTATTACCACCGAAAGCGACAGCTTTAATTACTTTATCCTGGTCAAAAATTCCTCCAGTCCTAAAAATTACCCCCTAGCTTCGTTTTAATAAATTGCCAGAGAAATTTGTTCGCCAGGAGTAAATAATATCTATTCATTTGCTACTTGAGAAATATCCATCTCCAAAGGATCGGCCAAAATCAATTCTGACGTCTCGTTGTCTTTTTGGAAAGATATAATGATTTTATCTTCATTGGACGATTGACTGTCGGAGCTTCCTTCTTGCGTGGATGTAGCTGCTTCCTGTGTTCACATATGAAATTAACCATAACTACATATTTTTCAAACAAAGATAGTTATTAGTATTTTTTATCTTCAACTTTCGATAGCGACAATGCGATGCCAGGTTAGGATTAATTGTTCACGGTTTCTAAGGTACCCAGTGGTTGTACTAACTGAATTTGCTGTGATGGGACAAAAAAAAGGTTCGTTAATAAAATTTCATTTTTCTACATTCATTCAAGTTTTTTCAAGATGATGTAAAGATGGAATTTATTCGAATGCATAGTTGAGATTAGTAATGTAGAATAAGAATTGAAATTTCTTTTTCCAAAAAGGAGCGCAAAACAGATGATCTACTAAGTATTCAAATAATATGGTGAATCCATATCGATTGACTTGATGATCATTTCGTCTTTCAAGCCTGAAGCTTCAAGCTTCACGGCTTTTTCGCCTCTGCATAGTATGTACGTTTTTAGATATGGAAAATAATTTAAAATCTTCACTGGGTAACTTTAGATTTTAAAAATCGTGGATATTAATATTGTATATACATGAAAAATAACTTTAAGAGCAGAAGATGCAAGATTCATTAAAATGTTTCAACCCATTTTCTGAAATTACTAATTATTATAAAAAAACAAAGTGGTACATCATTATTTTCTAAATGCTCATACATCTTTCAGAAATCATATGAAGTAGAAGTATCAAATATTGTGTTAAAATATTTTAATGCTCATCTTGACTTTGGTATATCTTTGCTAAGTATGAATAAAAATGGTCGAAAGATAAAAAATTTAAAGTAAAAAATTTTTAAAAGAAAATGAATAAAAAAAACATGAAACATTGTATTAAATTTTACTGACCGTGTTTCTAACTTTTGAGTGCGTTTTTATATGTTTTGTTAAGTGATCGGACCGCATGAATTTTTTGGTACACTCTGGACATTGAAATCTCTTTTCGCCCGTATGTGTGCGTCTATGTCGTTGCAACTCGTCTGAACGGGTGAATTTTTTTCCACAAAAGATCCAGTTACAGACAAATGGCCGTTCACCTGTATGCCATCTTAAGTGAGCCCGCAAATGCGAGGTCTTTCCATAAACCTTAGTACATCCTGGTATATGGCAAATGTGCTGTCTCTTTCGCCCAGAATCACGATTTCTGAAAACATTAATACATTATAATATGTTATGCTTCAATAAAAAAAAATATTTAGTTACCTTTCGCTATCACCACAGTTTGGACATGTGCAAGCTACGCGACGTCGATGTTGCTTAGTACCTTCTTCACCCGACTGCGTTGATTGATTCTGTCGAGGCGATGACTGCGACTGCTGTGTTTGCTGCTGTGATTGACTTGTAGTAACAGCAGCAGGTGCAGGCGTACAATTGGCCGGTATTGTTTGAACAATTTGCCATTTTTGATCGGATTTATTATCAACCTGCAATCTCGGTGTAACCGCGGCAGCAGGTCTCAATGCTTGGACGGCAGTAGGCTGCAAGGTCGATATGACCTGGACGTTACCGAGACCAGGTATATTTTGAACGGGAATCGATTGCAAAAAGTTACTGTTGATTCCCGTCGCAGGCTGCAATTGCATAACACCACCGCCAACATTAACTCCTCGTACCATCCCTGCTTGCCCGCCCGCGAGAGACGTCAAAGCTGTGGTTGGGATCAATGTTATTTGTTGTCCTTGCGCACCTATCAATTGTAAAAAAACATATTGTTACTGACTGCTATTTAAAATAGAATCCCTATCGTGATCTTTTATATATTTATTATTATGCCTCGTAAACATAATAAATATAAAACATAGTAAGTCTTCTGAATCATTTATATGAAAATTATATATACTATAATTGAAAGTCATGGTATATTTGAAGAGTAGTGATTATTTATAAATTCATTCTTATCGAATGAGTTCGATATTGTCTATCTAACAAATATATAAAATCACTGATATGTAATATACATCGTTCAATGATTCCAAAAGACCTTACCAGTTATGCTTATTGGCTGGGTTGCTTGCTGCATAGCTTGTGCGGCAGGAATTTGTATAACTTGTCCATTGGCGAGCTGTGAGGCATCGATGTTTGTGACTTGAATCTCGTTGTCTTGAACTTCTTGTTGAGGCCTTATTGCAGTGAGCGTTTGAACGTCAATTTTCTGTCCGTCCTTTGTTGTTATCACGCTTGAATTTGCTCCACCACGACCGATCGATCCTATACCGACAACCTGAACATTAGCTGGCGGAGCTCCGTTATTACTCCACGTGGTTGCAGTCGAGGCCGGCGTAGTAGAAGTTGCCTGTTGTGCAACTTGATGTGCTTGTTGCTGTTGTTGCTGTTGCTGCTGTTGCTGCTGTTGCTGCTGTTGTTGCTGTTGCTGTTGTTGCTGTTGTTGACTTTGTTGAACTTGTTGGACTTGTTGTGCCTGCTGTACTTGTTGAGCTTGCTGAACGGCTGCAACTTGCTGCACAACGGCCGCTTGTTGTTGTTGGGCTGCTGCTGCTGCGGCTGCTTGTTGAACCGCCACTTGCTGCACCACTTGTTGGCCTTGCAATTGCTGAAATGGTTGTTGGTGATGGTTGAATTTAATTTACTTACTAAGATTAAATAATTTTAGAATATATTGACTTACCTGTAAACCTTGTAGTTGGGCCAAGTTGGCGATTTGAACTTGCTGGATCTGCCCATTAGGTGTTATGATTTGGGCTATTTGCGGGATTTGCTGCTGTGTTAGGAAAAATAATTGGTTTTCAAATCAAAAGGCAATTTTGGATAAAAATATTACAAATTATTAGATCAATATTGAAAAATGATTAGACGTTTTTGTTTCATATTAAATTTATCTCAGCTTACCTGCGTGATCTGCGGTATCATTTGAGCAGTGGGCATATTGAAAACATTGGACAGAGCCTGGACAGGAAAATGAAGCGTTTGATAAACCGTCTGGCCGTTGACTTGAACTGGAACCTGAACCGGTACGGTTTGCTGCAACTGCTGTGGCATTGGGAATTGCAGCGGCCGCACTTGAACACTCTGACCTGTAACATCCGAATTGGCCTCGGGTTCTGTCGTAGCAATTTCGCATTCGATCGGAGATGATTTATGAAGGGTTTTATTGAGCGATAGCGAAACGACAGTTGCGTGAGGTTACACCAAATGTGACCAAAACATAAAAACCAAACCATTAGTTACATTGTTGCAGACAGTTAAAGAGGAAAAATATTAGCAAAGCAGTGTGTTGAGGATGATGGTGAGTTTTTGAAGGTTGAATTTTGAAACTATGTAAAATAAATATTTTCTATACTTGTAACTAAAAGTTGCAATTATTTGGCTTCATTCGATATCCGTGCATTATAAGCTTTTGAATTGCATATTATGTTTACTGAATTAGAGCGTACGCTTTGATTCATCATTTAAATTAAAAGGTCTATTCGGCGTCCAAAATAACCGATGTATGTGTATCTAAAAATTGTTTATAGTACACAACAAAAAATCTATGCAAGTTGAAAAACCTCTACTAATTGAATATTAACGCCACGTATTTTCGTCTTAAAATTCAACGATCTCGCGAAAACTGTAAGCTCGTAACCATAATATATTGTACTTGTATTGTATGATAGTGACTATAGTTAATAATTTAATAGTTGTTATTGTCATCTATACCGTTAATATCATTTTTTCACCAACCCTTCAAACAACATGCATAACTCGTGATCGCGAGACACCATAATGTATAATAGTTCATTTTGAACGCCAACTAAACACTCAGTTTAAATAAAAATATAGCTGTAATTGTATCATGCTTGCAATCATTGTTAAAATACATTGTGCATTAGTTAAATAGGATCATTATTCTTAAGGGTTCATAAGTTATATACATTAAATAAGTGAATTATAATGATATGGAATTTTTCGACATTCAGATAGATGAAGCTACAACAGAGATTAATTTTATGAAAAATTATTTATGGCTCTCGCAAAAAATAAAAATAAATCTCTTACTAATTCGTAGCTAAAAATTCTTTATGAAAATGACGAAAATGTTTCGTTACCAACCCAATGCCACCACGTTTAATGAACATTTTAAAAGAGTCAAACGTCACCTACATGCGAAAGTATACATCTCAATTTTGTATGAATTCAAATTTCAAGAGGCTCGATCAACTCTTTCAAAAACCCAAGCAGTCCCACACTTATAAATTTAACAAGATAAGTTTGAAACTATATACGAAGGGACAGAGTTTATTACACACCTGTCGGTATCTGGACCGTTTGCCCGTTGATGTTTTGGATGATCGAGGTCGGAAATATATTCGGATTTCTCATCAAGTTAACCGGATGCGGCTGTATCAGCGTCTGGCCGTTGGACAATTGTATCTGTTGACCCGCGGCCAGCTGCAGATGCTGACCGTTGGCAGTAGTGAACTGCATCGTCGGCTGGGCTTGCTGCAAGCCAGCCGCCGACGCAGACGGTATAAAAAGTGCCTCCTGTCCGTCTATGCTAACGGTTTGCATTTGCGGTATCACGCTGTAGCTCAGTTGCTGGCCCTGTTGAACTTGCTGGACTTGCTGCTGCGCCTGCTGTGGCTGAGGCTGGCCCTGGCTCTGTTGCTGCTGTTGCTGTTGCTGTTGCGCCTGCTGCTGTTGCTGCTGCTGAATGGCCTGAGCGGTGGCCTGTGCAACCAATTGATTTCCCTGAGCATCTACCGCTTGTGAAGCGTTCAATACCTTTTGCAAAAGCGTAAAAAAGTGCGGTTGTGATTATTCGTGAGATTTTACGCCATACTTTGAGTGAAAAACTAGTGCTGGTGTACAGTGCAAATATATAAGTTACGCCATATATTGGCAAGCTTTGTAATAATTACAAACAAACTTATGTAAAAAAAATCGTTGAAAATTGATTGTATGTGCACAGAAAAACTTCGCAAATAAAAATTACGATGCTGTGTTTTACTCTGCGGCTACTTGATATTGTAACATAGTAAATTTTTACTGAATTTTCACGTTATTTTCATTTTATAAGATTCTCAGTGGGTAAAAAGTTAAACTCAAGATATTAAAATAACATGGATTTCCAGCATATATAATTCAAGTGCTGACTTACTTGTAAGAATTGTTGGGGTAAACCTTGCATCGAGATTGTCTGTCCGCGTTGCTGGTCCTGCTGAAGTTGCTGCTGTTGCTGTATCGGAATGAAATTCTGTAGCTGCTGCAACGTTATGACTTGAGGCTGCGCTTGTTGCTGTTGCTGTTGTGCGTCTTGCTGTTGTTGCTGCTGCTGTTGCTGGGCCTGCTGCGCCGCCACAACGGCGGCCTGTTGCTGCTGCAGCTGTTGCAGCACATTGGCATTCAAGAAGCGTATCTGTGCATTTTGCTGCTCTATTTGCTGCTGTTGCTGCTGTTGCTGCTGCTGATCAACGGCATCTTGTTGCTGTTGTTGCTGCTGATCTGATTCTTCCATGATTTCTTCCTGCAAAGATAAAAATGACAGATTAATAAACGGTGTTTGAGATAGTATTCATTATTTAATATTTTCAGAAGACCCAAATAAGCTAAATATTAATTTGATAAACAATTATTTTGCGTTTAAAAACCTTTGACTTCACTGTCAAGCATGAAGAATCTTTTATCACTCTAAAAAATATCAAAATTATTGTAGTGCATAAATTATACACTAATAATGTGAGTTAAGCATAAAGCGAAAAGTAAGAGTTATTTTAAAAGAAATATTTTATAGTCACGATGGCACTGATTAAACAAATTGATTGAAACGGATTGAAAAAGATGATTATTCGATTGGATATTACATTCCGTTTAAGATAAAAGAAATTAAATGTTTAGTTAGACAGTGACATCTAAAATTAGTGCTCTTTTTTTTAACAAAGCCCATTCACATTTGATAAAAATTTTACCAAGACATTGGACTCGAAATACTTGAAATTGCTTTAATTGATGGAAAATCAAAATTATGCGACATAAGGCACACGAGGACAATCGACAAACTCAAAACTGCTGAGTGTCTGCGAATGAGATCAATACACGTAGATCGATACATGAAGACGAATGATGGGAAGTTGAAAATCAGTTGTAACATGCAGATCTTGAACGCAATATCGACTCTCGTGCATCGTATCACGTACACGCGTGACGGGGTGGTAATCTATATAGCGGAATGGTTTCTTTTTGATCATCGTCAGACTTACTCGTGAAGCCCGTGCAATGTCAAGAGATCAACAAGTTAAAAGGCACCGCCGCTTTATGTAGTTTTGTATATTACCTCGCAAACCGCGGGAGGCATGACACAGGAGTATAAGTCAACCCTCAGTACTGTGCATTAGTATACACGAGGTAGGCATGTGCACATAGAGTATAGTGTAGATTCGAGCAGTAGTCAAAGTCTCTCTTTCTCTCTCACTCTCTTTAGGAATGATTCTGCGTGGCACGTTTTATGTAATACGTATCCACCCACTTCGATAAAGATAGCTCCTCGTGCAACGCCCCTCGAAGCGGTGCCTCTCCCGTGCTCTGCTCCGTTTTCTCTCTCTCTCTCTCTCTCTCTCTCTTTTGCGCGACTACTCGGGGTACGAAGCACGTGTTGTTTGTATGTACACAGAGACCGCGTGCGACGAGGCACCCCATTAGGTATATACTCGCCGCTCCAAAATCTTCAACGCGCGGTAAATTTGCATGCTGAATCGGCGCAGCGCAAGACGACACTCCCCCGCGCGCATTAGGCTCTCTCTCTCTCTTATCTTGATCGTCGCTCGTCCCCCACTTTTCCTATCGCTGTGACCAGGGCATTTTAAGTTGCCAAATGTGCGCGCGTGATATGCGGCGAGACGCAACGTGGGTACACGGCACCGGGTAACGCCCCCGTTCCTCTAAATCGCCGGCTCCGATTTTATTCTCTTGCCCTGCATGCGGCGCGCGAGTGGATATTCGCGTTCGAGATTTACGTTCCAAGAGCGAGCGGATGAACGCACGAGAGACGTCGAAAACGAGCTTTTTATTTTTTTTAATATGCGGCGTATATATAAGAGCACCCCATGTAGTATTGTAACGTCGACCAGAGACCACTAAAAAAAAAGATCGTAAAAATTAGCCCAGCTGTATAAATTTGGTTGAGCAATTTACTCGTAGGCCGGAGCGTGGATGAAATTCGATCGGATCAGCGCGCGGCAGCTTCGTGTACGACTTTATTCCAAGAGTTCGGAGGGAGAGTCGCAGTCTGGAGTATTTGCATGTAATCAGCGAATAAAAGAAACCGGCAAAAGTCAAATCCGAGAACGTCTGCCTCGAAGGTCGCTTTTACAAAAGGGTATATAAGCCATCTGCGTTTACGCGTATATATTTAGAAGCTATATACGCGCGTCTCTCGAAAGCCCGCGTTTATTTTCAAACCCACGTTATACCGCGAGAAGAAGAAGAAGTAGGGAAGAGAAAGAGAGACAGAAATGCCGAGCGCTCGTGAAATTCCGAGTCATGCGTTATAGGTATACAGCAGAGATCGTCGCCTCTTGTATTATACAGAACCAGTCGGGGCAGTCTCGTCTCTTGCGCGCTCGGCCTTTCTCCGTATACGAAAAAAGAGGCAGAAGAAAAAGGAAAGGGAGTTGCGTCGCTGGTGCGCTTCTTCGCTCGGGAGCCTCTCTCTCTTACGTTGCTCCCTTTCTCTCGATTCTTGTCTCGCTCGGCTATAGCAGCATACATATATATAGGTATGTAAGTTTGAATGTACGTGTATATATCGGAGAGACGACGATGCGCATCGAAGCTCTCGGCTGCGCGCATACAACACACCCGCCCACCTTTGCTCGCCTACACCGAGCTATATACCTACATGTAGCCTATGGCTGGAGCTGCAACAGAACTCGACGCGACCCTCGCTTCCGGTATGTTTATAATGTGGACATGTGTGTGTGTGCGCTCACGAGCAACTCCTCTCTCTTTCTCTCTTGTACGTACACGTTAGAACGTGCGATGCTTTCAAGGTAATCCGACTATTCGCGAGCTTTTCCTGATATTCGTCGTAAGTTTATATGTTGTATATTTTACGCCGAGTTGCTGCTGCGGTGGCTCTATGATAGATTATGTTGGTGTGTATCGTGAAAAAATAAATAAAGAAAAAATAGGGTTTCCGACGCGCGCGCATCCACCCACGTATCTATCTGTCTTTTCTCTGCGGTGTAAAGCAGCGATAGCGTTCGACGTTCGTATCTCGTTCTCGCCCTCTACGTGTGTGCCATGTACTATATAGGTGCACACAATGATGAATGGCCTATTGGTATTGATTTTTTGTTCTGCTTCGTCCCTCGCTTACGACACGGTGTTTTTTTTTTTGTATCGCTTCCGTTTATTTTTTTTCGTGTATTGTATGATGGGGCTTCTCTGTTTACCATTACACGTGGTGTTTTTAAAATATGACGATGATCCAAGAATCAAGGGATTCGCAGTGATCAGGGATCGACACCGTACACCTCGTATGCGAAATCGACATCGGCGTGACCGGTATGGGAGACAGATCCGAGCTGTATGCAGGAGTTTCGGTACATGTGCCGCTGAATAGGAAACTGGGAGGACCCAGACAGAAACCGAGGGAAAAGAGAGAGAGAGAGAGAAGCAGTGTGTATATAGCGCATGCAACACGCGGTGCAAAAAGCGCGATGCCGCCGCCGCCGCTATATACTACAACACGCGCTTCGGGGGATGATTTTACGCGGCGCGCAAGCAGACCGCCCACCGGGCGTTGTTGAAACCCCCCTCGAGTACGACGCGAGGCAGCAGCAGCGGTAGTAGCGGTGCCAGCGACTGCCTGCCTGCCTCGTGCCTCGTGCCTGTTAGCCTGCGCGACTGCGTGTCTCTCTCTCTCTCTTTTCTTTGTGTCTGTGTATACGTGTGTACGTGCGTGAGCCCCGCGTGTACTCACGTAGAGTATATATTTCGCAGGCAGGCGATAACGCCAAGTCATAGGAACGAAAAGAGGCCTCCACCCACTTCGGAGCAGAGGCCAGAGGGACTCTTTTATATATACACGTATATATACACCGGCATCAATGTTTCAAAGCCGCCGAGCGAGCGAGAGAGAGAGAGAGAGAGAGAGAGCCCCGTTTCGCTGCTCCGTTAAGCTCCGGTATAGACTCCACCTATGTGGGCACGTTATCGCAGCCAAGAGCACGTGGCTCGGGAGTCTCTCACTGCCTCCTCGCACACCTATATCTATATATAAATAGTCAGGAGTCAACGTGCACATGACACACGCGGGTGCACGAGAGAGAAAGAGAGAGAGTACCGATCGAGGAGCAAATCAAAACAAATTCAGAACGAAAGAGTAGAACATATTATTACTGTCGTGGGTAGCTTTGACGTTTGGTGACAAGTGTCATTGCAAACATACGCGCGTTGTTTATCGTAGCATCGATCCGGAGATCTACAGTTATAATTTTATGCTTTTTCCATATACCTGCTCATCGTTACACGTTTTCAGTACACGCAAGCATGTACAGTAAACGTCAGGCCGAGGTGAGTGGCGCGAATAGATCATTTAATTATTTATACCTCAGTCGCACGCTTTTCAGATAAGAAAGTAGAGCTCGGCTGATAAAAAAATAGTGCCACACCGCAGCACGAGTCTTTGACCGACTCGATCGTCATAACAAACGGATAGTCACCGACTCTACAATAGTGAAAGAGAAAAAAGTCTGCACACTGTCACGTGCTTAACCTAAAACGCACGAGCTACAATTCTAAAAACGAGTTCCATGCCCGATATTATTTTTCTAACGTCGAATGTTGCAGGATTAGGGTCAGCGAGCGTGAACGATGATGTAGGTGTCGTATTACAACAGGAAGCAGACGCCACAACCGCCGTCATACATGATAAAAAAAATTTACGAAAAAAGCGCGAGCCGAAAATGAGGATGTGTGCGTGTGTGTCTGTGAAGCACGAGTGCAACATGTACAGCGGACTTACCTTCGTTTTCGCAATTTGAGCCATGACGACGAAGGTTTGAGAGAAGAAAGCTCCGTAATTCGCGTATCTGTATACCTATATGTATGTACAGTCTCTCGAGAGCGCAGCAGAATGCTTTATCTGTGTCTACAATCGCTGAATTCATGTGAAAAATTCGTGTACACGATCGACGCGCACTGCGTTAATAATCTCCGTTTCCTTTTTTTCACTGCATCCCGTGCATGTGTACGTAAACCCAACTGCAGCGATATCAAAATATTTCGGAGCAGCGAAGAAGGTCTATTATGGATTGCTACAGTAGTAGTGGTGGTGGTACTGTAGTAGTAGTAGTAATAGTAGTAGTATTAGTAGTAGTAGTGTATAGTTCCTATGTAGCTCGGCTGCTTCTATACATATACCGCTGCTTACAGGCTCCGCTCACACTGACGCAGATGCACATATATGAACACGCTCTTGTATATACGTATATATAATTACCGAGTCGGAGCTCGGTGTTATTT